TACAGAATTTCAGCCAAGGCTTCGGCGTGAAGCGAGTTGAAGCAAAAATGCCATTCTAGGTAAGAATTGGCAGCAATGGCATGTGTCGATGAAAAATCGATCGATTGCTGCAGCGAGGGATCTACCAATTGCACCGAGCAATAGAACTAGAAAAGCCTGTAGATCACTTATAATGAGAGAAAGAGCGATAGAAATTCACACAGCTTTTCCTACAGTACTTTCCTTACCATATGCAAAAAATAATCCAAAAATGTGTTATTATCAGTGATAAATGATAAAATGCTTATATCAGCGATAAGGGTAGATAAAAACTGCCCAATTTTTCGCGATAGTTTTCGATAACGAGAGCTTCGTACCAGAACCTCCTATACGCGATTTACACTGTGATAAATGTTCACAAAAGCCTTAACGTAGAAAACCACAAGGTATCATTGTATGTCTACCCCGTCACTATGAACTACGGACATACCGTATATCAAAAGATTCGTCTCATCAAGCTGAAGCCAAATCTTCACTCAGATTACAAATAAAGTTATTTTAAAAGAAGTTATAGCTAAATCCCGCTTATCCCGCAAATCCCGCGAAGTTGCGAATCCCGCCAATCCCGCGAATACCGACAATCCCGCGAATCCCGACAATCCCGCAGTTTTGGACAAATTCCACCGCTGCAACTGTACGATGTCTGGTCAAGTGTGTTAAAAATGGATAATTTAATGTTCTCTGCCGATGTTTATGCCGCGGCAAGTTGTCAGTGGAACAATGTCTGTAAACGCCTTTCTACCTACGAGACTTTGTCGTATGATACTCGTTTGCATAGTGGTTACATTTTATAGTTTCCCAGAATCAAATCAAGACAGTAATGTATAATACAATTATAACTGCAGTTCAGTTTTGAAAATTTCGTTCGGAGAAACATATCCAATTTGAGAGTTGTCATCTCTTCGAAGTGAAACAATACTCAGTAAGTTGAGAAGCAGCACTTGACAGGGCTTTATATGCTATTTCCACGCGAGTTATGCATAATTACTTTGGATGCTTACCCATTACTAGTTTAGTCACATATTGCATATAAAAAGTATATTACCATGCATCACGTAATTTGTAACTTTTGGACAATTTAATTCGCTTTTTGGGAAATTGAAGCATCTTTACAAACTGTAATTTTACTACATGACAAACTTCATTAGCCTATAAGTGCCAATCTGCTCTGATCTTTAGAAGATTACCACTAGCAAGATTGCGCTAATGATGGTCTGCATATTATCATATAAAGAGTGTCCCAAAAAGATGTGCACACTGTTTGATCATTAATAATTCTCTTTCTTTCATGTCTTTTACCGAGCCTGAGGTACCATTCTGTAGAGCTAGGTTCAACTTAGATTTACAGTATGTAGCGAATCACCAATCAGTTTTCATTATTGTAGGATTATGGTATGAACTCTCAGCCTACAGCGTCACTGTGGAATGAGCTTTTGATGAAATAATTTCAAAAAATTTGAAATTGTGTGGCAGGGTTTTCAGACCTGATTTCACTACATGACATTTCTTGAGTTTTTTGAGCTTTGTTGATGGCGTATTCACATTTCTGACGAATCTTGAAAAAGCAGTTGTTACCCTAAATCTAAAATAATTTATGTAGAAGCACTATACTGAAGTGCAATTTTCATATTTAGAGTTAGCGACTTTGATTAGCCCACTTCAAGACTTTCTGGCTTGTTTGGCTTTCTTTCTGAGGTAAAATAGCGGCAAAAACCGCTTTCAATGGCTTGAAATCTTCTTCAAACCTACCGTAATCTTACGGTAGCGAAGAGAGATCGATTCGCTCCACAAATCTAATCTAAGTTGAACCTGGCTCTACAGAATGGCACCTCAAGCTCGGCAAAAGACATGAAAGCAAGAGAGTTGTTAACGATCAAACAGTGTGCACATCTTTTTGGGACACCCTGTACATATTATACTTTCTGCAACTGAATTGCGGTGATGCGACAAACTGCATCACAACCGGTTGCGTGTTAGTTGAAAGATCAAAGGCAGGAGGTCGGCAAAACTCAACAATTCAGGATTTCAAGCGGTGAGTTCCTATCGCCCAAGTTTGAAAACAGTGCAATGCCGGTTGCACTGCATGCCTTCCCTGCCGAGAAAATTACTTTCAAATTTACACGCGCAGGCTAATCTTACACGCATCCGGACGAGTTGCAAATTCCTTCTCACCATTGGAGGCTGCCCGCCGCAATGCTATAACCATTGGGTCCTGCAACGATTCAGCGTCATCAGCCTTGCTCCACTCGTCCAATTCTAAAAAGAAGGGCATTGAAAAACGCTCGTTTTCGCCGTTTTCAAGCTATCAAAGGTGCATTTTCGGAATCAAAGTACTGAATAACCCCAGGTAAGCGAAAATTACACTAGGTTGAAATTTGCCGAGCCACTGCCTTTAAGCTGATAATTGGCTTCCATAAGCGCATAGTTAGTGTCATAAATTGACCTATTATTCATTTTTTTTGATCAAAAAACTCGAAACGCTTTGCACACCTTTTCTAAACAAGCTTGAACTTGTTCAACTTTTTCATGCTGCAAATAATCCTGGATCTGATGGACCACAACTACAATCAAATGCTGCATAAGTGCTATTAAAATTGATATACAAGCATGGCAGATCAAGCTTGTATTGGGAACGTGTGCAAAGCAATTTCAAGTTTCTTAGTCGCAGAGTGGATAATAATCAATCCAATGACCGTGCCTGTTATGACAGAACGCGGCAGGGAACACCCTGGATTGGCTGGAATTGGTAGATTTCCATAAATTGAGCTCCGCATTTCCTTTTTGGGCCGCATGGAGGACAGACCAACGCAATACTTTACCTTCAAGACCTGCTTGTAGACCATGTAGAAGTCGAATAAGCGTAAATTTTTTTGACACTCCCTTTGAGGTTGTAAGGGGTTTATCGTAACAGCAAAAGGGGCTTATCATGTAAACGGGGTTATTTATCATCTTTCGTCAACATTTCGAACTTTTCACCGCCCTTTCCCTTACTTTTAAGCAGAATATATAACATCAAATCCCATTTTACCGTATAGCTGCCGTAACCCTTACATGCGATTGCGAGATTTGGCAAGAAAGGCTGCATTTTAGTTTGCGATAATCTTGAAAATATGAAAAAAATGAGCGCGCAATATTTGAAAAAGAGAAAATTGCTTCATTTTACAAGTTGTTGCAAACTTAGTCCAGACCATACTGTTTTGAGCGCTAGAAAAGTCTATAGCGAACACACGATAAAGTTAAAGTTAAAGGCACCCTTCATTAGGATCTGGTCAAGTTTGGTGCTTCAAAACAAAATTTGAGATTTCTTGTGAGTTTCGCATAAACCTTGTCTTGTAGCGGCATTGAAGAGCAAGATTTGGAGTACAAAAAATGTTTGGCTATACAAAACCACCGTTGTGTATCGCCGAACATTTTGTGCCTTACCTTCTACCTTTGTTAAGCCAACACTACATAGCAAATATGCTCAAATTATTTGTAATTTAATATTGGCATTACATATCATGGGGCTACTTCACGGCTTGTAAGATAGAGCTTTTCATTTCCGACTAAATCCGTTTTTTGTGTCTATTTTGATCTGATTGATTATGTATTGGTATTTACACATATTTCTGGAGTAGCGATAGAAAAGGTTTTGAGGAGTTATCGGTAACATCAGGTTAAAATGGCTTGACGATAGAAAGCAAAGTTGAATGCACGTTAATCACCCAATAGACAAGCCGCGCATCCTTTTATGACGCTTGCCTTCCTTAAGAATGTCCGCAAACTTTATAGATGAAGTAATCGTTTGTTTGAAGAAACTTCCAAAGGCTGAAAATATGACACAATACCTAACTGTGAAGCGAATTTTTGGTTTGGGGTACACTTCCGCCTCGACATATATGGTTATTGGCCAGCGCTTTCTTAAGAAGCTTTCATCAAATTTAGGTGGAGCAAAAATGTTAACACTGAACAAAACGGAAATTTTTAGCGCGATACTAACAAGGAAACCGTGTCGAGTCGAAATGGCCTTTCCAAATGGGACCCAGACTGCTTTGAAGAGTATTAAGCGATGATTCCAAATCTGCTTTCCAAATCTGCCAAGCGCCTCTGGACGCCGAGTTATGACCGTTCTTCGGAACGAAAAATGAATGCGGAATTTAGGTAAAATTGATTGTTACAATTTTTCCAGCGCTCAGATAAAGTAATGTTAAGTATTAGCATATTAAATAAAATGTATCATTGCATAAATAGCTTTGATGCTTGACACTGGACCATTTGAGCAAATTTGGGCGATTTTGCTTCAGTTTTGCGTTCAATTTTTTGACCTGAAAAACGAGCATAACTCGGCATTCAGAGGCGCTTGGCAGATTTGGAAAGCAGATTTGGAATCACCGATTAAAGCTCTTCAAAGCAGTATGGGTCTCATCTGGAAAGGCCACTTCGACTCGACACGGTTCCCTTGTAAGTTAAAGACTTGAGCGATGGCTGCTCAAAAATATTGTCAGAGCCTTTTTCATAGATAGTTGTACACTTATAATCTCGATACATAGATTTTGAAAGCGATTCGTAGTGTATGTATGAAAAGAGATGTCAAGCGATGTCTCTAAAGTTACCTTCATTTTACTGGATCAACCAACGCGCCGTTTTTGTAAATTAAGGTTTACTTGTTGCACATAAAGGAACAAGGATGTTCTTAAATGGTTTTTTCTTTGGAGCTCTTAGGAGTATGTAAATGCCGGCACTATTATAGACTTTGAGTCATCTTCTTCCTTTCCTTCTTCCTCTTCAGTCTCTCCTCCTTTTCCAATCTCTGCTCCTTCTCTACCTTGTTCTTGTTCTTGTTCTTGTTCTTGTTCTTCTTTTTCTTTTTCTTCTTCTTCTTCTTCTTCAGTCTCTTCTTCTCTCCCTCCTTCTTCCGGAGCAACTGAGAAAGATTTTTTATATTACAGTGCATAAATTTTCCACACATATCCCGGCCATAATCATAACTTTGACCTACGAGAGGTGGGAGGATCCTGATCACAAAGTCCAGAAAAAGTGTCGCAATTTACATCTGTTCCCCCGATAACTTCTTTGCAGGGCTCAGATCTTTCACATCCGGTACTACTTCTTGAATCTGCCCAGTACAGTGGTTTACCGCTTTTTGGCCTGCGAACCAGTTGTTTATCAAGGTCACAATGAAAGCAAATAACATTTTAAAAGGTGAGTTCGCGCTACAAGATAGGATTGTATTTTGATTTTGGTAAACAAGAGCAAAAGAAGAGCTCCCTAGGATCGTTTTGGAGGCTGATAAAGCAAACTCCTAACCTGTTATCATAGACGCATGCGAGAGCAGCCCATCTCGTTTCGTCACAGAACAAAAATGAGCAGCCAAACTTCAGCGTCTTGTTGTAAATCATCTATAAAATTTGAAAAAGCAGGTTGTTATTTCGCATATACGTTAATTTGTGCGACTTGTTTAATTTAAGTTGCCAGAAGCTCACATTAGCGAAAGGTTCCGTATCAGTATCAGTATACACCACGCCTGAACTTAGAGGTCGCTTTACCGTATTCATCCAGCTCTCGACAGCCCTTGCAAAAAGTTTCTTTTGTTTGGCCACGTTTGGCTTCTTAGCAACCTTATATCTGTGGAAGGGAGATGTATTTCACTATGTTTACATTCGACTCTCGTTGATCACGAACCTAATAAAGTTTTCTCCTTTTCCTATTTTTTTCATGTAGTTGCTGGAATGTTTACAATCGTTCCCAATGGTGCCGCGTGCAAGTTGTTCGTGTGTGCAGTCATACTTCTACAAAAACCAAGAATATGATTCGAGGGTATGATTAGACTGATTAGTGCAGAAGGACTGGTAAAGACAGGAGATCTCTCGAACATTTGAACATAGTTTAAGCATGCCATATCACTCAATTTTATCCTTGTTGGCTTACCAGCTTGAAAAGAGTTTTTGATCCAGGTATGCCTTCAAAAAATGCATTTCTCAGATTGCGTTTGGCAACCTTTGCTCTGAGCTTATTGTGAGAGTCTGTGACAGCATTGATGACAGCTGGAGACATTTGGCAGAAAGTCCATTCTGCTGAAATTGATACTTACAACTCAAGTGTAACCCCACCCTCCTCCTCACCCACCTTTCCCTTTCGGTAGGAACTTCCATGGGTAAAAATTCCAATTTTGAAGCAGTAAATCTAGGCTTATTGCACCTCCTTTTTGAAGAAAAATCAAAGTTATCTGAAACCTTAGATTTAACTCATGATTTTTATTGAGGTGATCATTACCAGCAGCAACAACATCTGGCTAGTTTTTTCGACCCGGTAATGAATCTAAACAACACTTACCTAAAGGACTGACTGGTTTCACAATTGAATGATAAACTTCGATGTCTCAATTCAAAAAAATAATCTTGATTTTTATTTTGCTAAACAAAGAGAAAGTGAAAGCTTTTCGTACCTAAAAATATTTATGTTGATGAATTATGGAAAAATTGAAAAGAGCAACTAGCGTGAATTTTGGAGACAGCACAAGGAATGAATACCTTGCCAATAGGAAGAGCGTTGTTGTTATAAGAATCGAATAGGTTCAATCAAAACAATCGATACTCTTTTCGCTTTTGCAGGCTATTAGTATGCTAAACCGAACAGAATTTAAATGAACACGATCAATCAGAAAAGAACCTGTATGGCGATTTTAGCTCACTATTATTATGCTTTTGATTAAGCTGACTTCTACAAACGTAAATACCCGGTGAACGTGGGCGGAACACAGTCAAGAGGTGCGATTTCTTAGGCTTTCACCAAGTCAAAACTCCAGTCTAGCGCTATGCGAGTCTTCAAAAAGTATCACATAAAGTGCATTGGATTACTATCTGTACGAGGTTACCACTCGCCGAGTTCGGTGGCTTTTGCTGGAAAACGCGAAAAAAGTATTTGTTCTTAACTGCATTTTCAAGGGTTTTTGACCTTCAAAATTGCTCTTTTGAATTGATTCCAAGGTAGCAAGATTGAGCAACCCACGCAACTCTTAAATAAATCTCCTTTCAAAATTTCAGCACTTCTGGAATGTTATAAAACACTTTTTATGTGTTTTTTGGTGTCCATCTGGCATAAAGATCGCTCCACTTCACATACACCCAACGTGGGCCGTGAGACAAAACGAAGATGCTCCCGTAAATATTTCTAAAAGCAAACAGATCACGGTCATCATTTACAAAGTTTTTATCTGAACAAGTTGCATGTTCCTAATAAACCTTATAAATGAAAAATACCAAAACTAAAAACGACATTCTTCAATCTGTCGGGACTAATGAAAAGAAAATTACATATTGATAATATTGCACCCAGCAACAGTGCAAACCGTAAAAGAAAGTCTCTCAACTTTGTTCAAGAAATTGTCAAGTCAATAAGCGAAGTAGGGCTCAAATTGATATTTGATAATGCATTCATGTTTACACATCTACATAATTTAGAGTTACCAAATTTCCTGCAAGGACGAAAATCTAAGTTGGCGCTCATGGAGTACGACTGTAACAAAAGTTTTTTGTTAGTTTGGTACATAAGTCTTGCGCCGAGAAATGTATAAAATTCATTTCCAAAGTGTTCAAGTAACTTTCTCAAGTTTACCATGTCCATTTGTAACCTGTACCAAAAGTTCTATCTCATCATGAATAAAGATTGTAAGTAATAGTAGAAGCTTCCGATAGCATAAGGCACGCCCCATTAGCAAAAGCAAAACTAAAATGGGTGTAAGTAAGTTGAATGCTCTTTTATCTTTGAATCTGGGCATGATAGTTTATGTCAGTAAGTAATGTGTTTGCCAACCAGATTCTGCGGTGGAGACTTTATTTGACCTAACGTTTCGACATCGGCGTCATCATCAGAGGTCTGAAAACGGATTGTAGGCTATTTGACCTGCTCACCATACCTTCAAGCGCCTCTTCTTACTGTGTTAGTCTAGACCTAGTCTGAGTCTCACAGCATGAGACCCTCAAAGCCAGGAAACGAACAAACCTTGACTCCACCAGTTAGCGACAAGCCCGCACATTTGATGGTAACGGACGTCACTGAGTGTCACTCAGTGAGTCAAGGCCTTTTATGTGCATCATTAAGCTCACATAATGATATGAATGGAGCTAAGTCACTACTGATAGACAAACACTCATTTTTGACATTCAGCTCTGGATTTTTGATACTGATCCATGCGGCTTCGAAGAGTTTCCTGGCGCATATCTCGGTTTCACCGAGATATGCGCCAGAAAACTCTTCGAAGCCGCATGGATTGGATCAGTATCAAAAATCCAGAGCTGAATGTCAAAAATGAGTGTTTGTCTATCAGTAGTGACTTAGCTCCATTCATATCATTATGTGAGCTTAATGATGCACATAAAAGGCCTTGACTCACTGAGTGACACTCAGTGACGTCCGTTACCATCAAATGTGCGGGCTTGTCGCTAACTGGTGGAGTCAAGGTTTGTTCGTTTCCTGGCTTTGAGGGTCTCATGCTGTGAGACTCAGACTAGGTCTAGACTAACACAGTGGGAAGAGGCGCTTGAAGGTATGGTGAGCAGGTCAAATAGCCTACAATCCGTTTTCAGACCTCTGATGATGACGCCGATGTCGAAACGTTAGGTCAAATAAAGTCTCCACCGCAGAATCTGGTTGGCAAACACATTACTTACTGACATAAAATGGGTGTATCAGCTACCACATAAAAATCACTTCTTCAGTGTTCCTCTTGATTAGGCTTTATTGTTGCGATGTGGCAATATATATGACTTGAGCATCTTTGAAGTGTAAAATCTTTTCTCTAGTATGTGTTGATATAAAATCCATAAGGGATTCGGAAAGATTATGAATTTCGCAGATATTTGGTGCAAGACTTTCTAATATTCTGATACACTTTTAGCCTTTTTGAGAAGCCACACTTACACTCGAAACCAGTTTGAAGTGCTGTTTTCAATTATGCTATTCATAGCTGCGAAGCCTACTGTGAACTAAATTGTGAGCTTTTTTCTTTACAAAATCATTATCTAACTGTCTATTTATGTATATAATGTTTCCTATTGACACTAAAAACTCAATCGAAGTTATATCGACATCCCACCACCTTTTCGGTAAATTTGCACAGCCCGACTTTCCATATTCAATTGTGTGTCAATAGCGCATGCTAAAATGCTATAAATTGCTTCAGTGTAATGTTCGCAGCTACAGACAGCACAAAATCAGTGTCTCAAGCCGACTCTGAATATATGCGTCGTTTTTCAAAAGGTCAAACTGAGTAAGGTGCCATCCCTTGTAAATAAACATCTCGGCTACTCCAGGTCAACTGCAATAATCGCTTTACTCGTGCAATAGAAATCAACTGTACATGGGCACGACAAAATACAACACATTAAAAATCAACATTAACATCATAAGGCACAAAAATTGAGCAATTCGTTAGATACCATTATGCAAGTAGTTCATTTGATCAGCTTTGATGATGGCTGCAATAGGTTCGTAGATTTCGGGGGTAGCCCGCAAACCCCACATAAAGGAGCCGTGATTGAATCCGCGCAATTTCCTAAAATATTGAACGGCTGAGAATTTTGATCGTAATATAATTAAATGCACGTGTCCTAGGATATCTATAACGCTTACCAGACTTGTTTGATTGAAGAGGGTGGAAGTGCGGGTATCAATCGCTGTTCGATATCCCCAGCAGATACTATCCAATCACAGTCCGAATAGAAAATATAAATGTCCGCATTAACGTTTCCGATATTGTATTCTGGTGGGCATATCTATAACTGTTGTTGCTATGTGTATCCCATATCAATCCCCCCCCCCCTTCCAGATTAAAAACTGACCGATCCGTAACATCGAAGATTTTGTTCCGGGCCGCGATCATAGGACATCAATCGTTTATTACGAACCAATTGTACGAAGTGCCGCATATTTTGCGCTGATGTTCCAGCAGGAGTATGTGATAAGTATACTCCCGTCCTTGACTGAAATACATGGTAACAACTTTGTGTATTGGGGAAATTTTCGGAATAATCCGTAGATGTCACTTCTTTCTATCTTCCTCAAAATACAAATTTTGTGATGAAATTTTTAAGCTAGGACTATCCAACTCGAATCCATTTCTTTCCATCTAGCCCGAAACTTGTAAGGCCATCTCAAGAACAGCACAAGCTCCTAATCTTATATATAAAGCTGAATGTCTGTTTGTATGTATGTCTGTCTGTCTGTCTGTATGTCTGTCTGTCTGTACGTATGTTCCGAATAGAAAATTCCATTTCTGAACCGATCCGGACCAAACTTGGCACACATATACTACGGGCCCCGGCGGGTGTCATAGGCTACTTTTCGTCATCGATCGATATCGATTTTATCGATTTTTATCGATTTTTTTGCTGAGCTCACCTACGGGGCTGGGAGTTGGCACAGGGGGGTAATCGAGCATGGGGATTCCGAATACAATATTGGTTTTCGGGATTATCGATTACTTTTATCGATTTTATCGATTTTTTTGCAAAGTTTGAGCTAGGGGGCTGGGAGTTGGCACAGGGGGGTAATCGAGCATGCTGATCATCCCCAAGGGGGGTGATCAGCATGCTCGATTACACCCCTGTGCCAAATTCCAGCCCCCTAGCTCAAACTTTACAAAAAAATCGATAAAATCGATAAAAGTAATGGATGATCCTGAAAACTAATATTGTGTTCGTAATCAGCATGCTCGATTACCCCCCCTGTGCAAAATCCCAGCCTCGCATGTCAAAATTTACAAAAAATCGATAAAATCAATAAAAGTAATCGATAATTCTGAAAACTAATATTGTATTCGGAATCCCCATGCTCACTTCCCCCCTGTGCCAACTCCTAGCCCTGTAGGTGAACTCTGCAAAAAAATCGATAAAAATCGGTAAAATCGACATCGATCGATAACGAAAAGTGGACTGTGACACCCGCCGGGGACCGAAGTGTATGTGTGCCAAGTTTGGTCCGGATACGGCGGAGCCGGGTAAGCCAGCTAGTCATGTATAAATCAGAGCTCAATTCGAGGTCATAATATTAAATGCAAAATCAAAGCACGTTTTCAACCACAGTAGAGATGGTATAAAAACGTATGAAACAAATTATTCGATAGCAAAGCAAGCTCTATAGGATGATGTTTGAAAAATCGCAAAAAGTTTGATAGAAGGGAAGCGCAGAGGAAATACCTGAAAATCAAATGCCGGAAAATCAAACTTCTGTCGGAAAAAATTCTAAAAACACTCAACTTGCTGAAAAAAGTTACCTATCGTGTCAGCTGCTCAAATGTATCCTCACTGTATTTTTCTTAATTAGAAGCAAAGAAACCGAGATTGGCATGCATTGAGAAAAACGATCCTGGACTGTTCCCACATAATTTTATATCGCAAACCTTTGGAAGCGTAACAATAAATCTTGAGATTTCTGCAGAAGAAATATCATAGAATTAGAAGCCCGAGAAAGGCGACATCCCTATTTTTGAACTATTTTTATTTCTGAATTTTCTATGCAACTCCGAAAAAATACTGCAAGTGTAAGAACGATACTCATGTAGGCGCGAATATACGTATGTGACCAAGTTGGAGGTTCGCAGGATATCTTTTTGGACGGAATTTGTTTTTTGGAAAGTTATAATGAAATTTGTTGGTTTTTCCCGCAAACTTTACGCAGCTGGAACCATCTGCGGTTGTCTGAAAACCATCTTGTGGAGCTTGCCCTGCTCTATCGAATTATTAGTTTCATATATTTTTATATCTTCTTTGCCCTGTATTACTAAAAGATTTATTTTACCAACTAAGTTCGATATTTCATGAATTGAAATCGGTCGACTTTTTTGGCATGTGGTTCTGAAAGTTTTGAATGCAACGATAGAAACTAATTTTAGGTTTCCGCAGTTTGAAAGTTCAAGGTTCAAAAGATTGGAAACATTTGCCTATATTCAAATTATGGCCGATTCACTCACACAATTAAATTGGTCGCTTTTCGGACCATTTATGTAGACAAGAATATCTATACACGTCTGTACGGTAACAGGATTGTCGCAGACAGCTTGTGCTAGTGGACGTGTCGGGGCATAGTCGAAGAATTCTCTATCACCAAGCAAATTAAAAAATCCCTGAAATAAAGGTATAGATGTTGTGGGTTGCATACGGTAACTTGCCTGGGTCATTTCATATGTTTGTTCCCATTGGTGCAGTATTCCACCGACATGGGTCATCGTGTATGCTGGTGCTAGGGCAAAGATTTTTCGAATCTAAAATTACGCTGATGAGTTCTAGATGTGACAAAGCTTTCATGCATACCTTTGTGCCAAATTGAGGATTGATGCTAAGTTGTACAAACATGGTTTGGCATCCTTGCGAATGACAAAAGTAGTACAGCGACTGTTCTCCAGTTCTGCCCAAAACGTAGTCAATCATGGCTGGCAGGTCATATTTAGCCATTTCTTCCCAACTAAAATAAAACGTTCATTTGATTAAAAGTAATTTTTTCGTTACATTCGAGGTCCAGAAAGAGAGTGGCCAGTAAACCACCGTCATTCCACGCCGACTGAGGTGGGCCCAGCGCCCGGCACGAGCTTGTCAAATGACAAGCTGGAAATCGTTTTCGGCAAAAAAAGCAAAGGGGAAATCGTTTTTGCGGGGTCCGGGGCGGAGCCCCGGAAAAAAATTGGTAGTGCACGTTCTCTGCTTATTTTAACATGTTATGTGCCTCAACATGCGAAGACTGGAGTTCGCGCGCGTCAAACCGCGCCGTCGCTAATTGCCGCACGCGCGACGTCGCTCAAACGAGCTATTTGTAACGGCATACATGACTAGTTCTCAATGTACGCGTCATATGACACCAGATTTTGTAGGCGAACGGAGAGAGGCTAGTGGAAACAAAGTATGAAAAATTATGAAGAACTTATGTGAACGGGACGAGTAATAAGCATTTTTTCCAAAGATTTTGCAAAATTGGTAAATGAAGTTGTAAATTCAAATGGCTCGTTTGCAACGCGCAGATGACGATATGGTATGAAACTTGGTACGCACGTGGTACACAAGCCTGTAGGAGCTAACTTAGGAATTTCATTGAAAAATTATGTGACTGAAGGTTGTGGCAAAGTTTTTTCTGAAAATTTCCCGCTAGCAAAGAAATGGAAAAATGGCTCGTTTGCAACGCAGAGGCGACGAAATCGCGCGGGATTCGGTGTGTATATGCGCAGTAGGACTAAGTAACAAAGTATGAAAAATTATGAAAAACTTATGTGAATGAAGAGTTTCCCCAACTTATTTCCAAATTAGCTTGTCATTTGACAAGCTAATGACAAGCTGAGCTTGTCAAAACTCTCAATTCACATAATTTTTTCAAAATTTTTACATAAATCTACTCTACACCTAAACATTAGTATATATTGAAATTTTGGTTTCAAACCTCCTCCTCTCCCCATTGCTAGAGGCAAAAATAGCCTCAGCAGCCCCGTTTCCTAAGGAAAAAAGCGCGCTCCAATCGATAGCGGCGTTTCTGAGTCCTATACGGCATTGCTATAATATTTCGCTGCTTTTCTCGTTTCATTCGCTCATCTTGCCCATTATTCACTCACTATAGTAGATTTTTGTGATTATGAGGTCATTTCAGGTACCGATGGTATTGATAAGGAACAAATCCCTAGCTCTGCTTGCTGTCGATAGGCGAATTGTATCAGAAACTGCTAGAGCTTATGTGAGCTAGACTTGATTATGCGGTAAGGAATTCACTAATAGTTGTGCATTTCTAATGTGTGGCATAACTTTTAATTAGGATGACTCATCACTTTCTTCATCGCTTGTGACCAACAAAGTCGATCTTGTGTCACAACATAGCGATTTGCTTGAACGCACTCGCATAATTAGGAATGGGCGAGTTGGTGGAGTACTATCAAGACGGACGGGAAAGTGGTACGTGCATTACTTTCATCGTGTTTTACTGTTTCTAGATGGTATGGTTATTGCAAATTCCGCAAATTGTTGCCTCAACCGTTTTGCCTTCCTTACCGATTTTCTGCTCTGAATGAGTAGGTAAATGAAATCATGCGTCGAATTTTTCCATTCGAGCCGGTGGGTGATTCTCTTTATCAAGCAGATCAAAAAGCCTAGAGCAGAGAGCAAAGAGCATCAAACGGTTATTCCAAATCCTTTTTTTCGATTCACTTTTTCGGAAATTGGGGGGCTCAGCTGGATGGTCCTAGACAACACATTAACTTCTATATACTTTCTTGAGTCTTGCACCTTTTTGCAACTGTTGATATATCCATACCTTGCTAATCTTTACGGAGGACGTGTGAGCCTACTTATTGATATCAGTTTGACGTCAGTCCGAAATTCTATAATTTCAGTGGAATGTCGGACTAGAGGCTTGGACAAATTGGTTTATCTCGTAGGATCGGCTATAGCTCCTATAATGAATGCACCGTCTTTACTACACCATCAACAACTGCAACAACTGCTATTTCATGTGAGATTTTGGAACATTATTACCCTTCACTTCCTTACAGTGATTTCTCAAGGTGGGTCGTGCCGTGCAAATGTTGCTTTCACGATCACCATATAGAGATATCGCAACCCCATGTTTATTTTTTCTAAGCCAGCGATTGGGATGCTATGGACATTTCCCCTCGTTTTTACAGTTCTTCGTTTACAAGCCGTCCTTACTGCAATCACTTAGCTCTCCAAACTTGGTATGTACAAGTCGTTGCAGATGTCTCACTGAAATCTTGTGTTCAGAAAAATGGTTCAACTACTTCCGACGAGCAAGCAAACAATGTCAGTTTGGCTCTGTCAAGGTCAACCCTTTAAAAATCTTACCGTTCACTATTTTTGGCAGATTCTGATCTCACCATATGCGAAATGAAGGATAGAAAGTACCGTTTTTGCTTCTTTAGTAAAATCTAGTACGCGAATTTAGCTCACTCAGGCTGGTTGGATCTGTATCGAGAAATGTCCAAGGAGTATTTCCCCTTCAGAACTGATAGAAATGATCACCATCCTTGTTCTTTTATTTCAATTTTCGGCCTACAACCTTACATGGGAATGTATCATCGAAAGCTGTGGACGGAGGTGATCCATTTTTTTAGTCTGAAGGTGGTGTGCTAAGCTCTTCATATCTGAATGTTGGCTTTGGACATCCATGGAACCTTTGACTATGAAGATTATGTAGTCAAAAACCGGTGAAAGTCTCAAAACAACCATTCTCTCGCGTGGATCAGGGGATTTAGCCAAAGAGCTCTATCGACGATTCCAGATATTCGCACTTTCTAGTTTTTGCCATATAGGAATGATTTGCCGTTTTTTCTCTTTAGCATTGTTGAGCTTAGCTGCCCTACCAAAACATTCGGGCAGCTTTGGCTAGGTTCATACTGATACTGATCCGTAAGTTCCGGAATAGTTCCAGCACAGCGCACATTTTGGGCGCTGTGTTGGAACTGTTCCGGAACTTAAACATCAGTATGAACCCAGCCTTTGAGCGTTGCCGCCGAACCTTTCTGCCATTTACGGCATGAAATTTTTTGTACGAGGTAAACTTCCACTCGTTCAGGGATCCCAGTATTGGTGCTATATGTGATTTCTACGATCTGCCATCGTTCTACCACTTAGATAATGAAACTGCTCACGAACGTTGGTTTTAGATGGTTCTAGATTAGGTATAGAATTTCTATAGCCCTGCGTATAAATCGTTTTATAACTTGTGCAGTCAATTCAAGGTCTCTCTTTTTCATTTGCTCCCTGTTCCCTGTTTTTTGAACACCAGCTTCCTCATATTCCCTAAATATTGATGGGATACTGTCTCATACTCCTCTTGTAGAGTCTTGTTACTGAGATTTTATCAATTGCTAAATTCATGCCCATGCTCCAATTGTTGACACTGTTGTTTTATTGCGGGAAATCCTCCGTTCCGAATGAAAAGTCACTATAAACGAGTACACATCATTATATTCGTTGAGACCGCTTCATGACTAATTAAGAGCATCAAGGGAGGATAAATGCTCATTCAGGGGATTTATAAGGCAAAAAAAAGAGAATAGACTAGTGCATTAACACTCGGTATGAGGGGCAGTAAAAAGATTTAGGAGATGAATAGCTAAAGTTTCCTTTGCTTTTTCTTGCTATCGTGATGAGATTAAAATCATGCCGTTAGTTTTCTTTTAGAGAGGAAGTTTGCTTTCTGCACAGTTCTACCAATCAAATGCATTTGATTTATGAATAATTTCTGTTTTTGAACTTCCAAAAACAAACCCCTGCTGACAGCTAGGCTAATACCAGTTTGTTATGCACTCTCTCAGAGTAGTTCATTGAGTAAAGATTTGACATTGAACAAGAAGGACCTTTACTATCGAAAACCAAAGATGAGTTCGTTGTCTAGGAAACGAGCATTTGAAGAAGTTGTCTTTCGACAGAAACTGGAGGATAGGTGGAATGGCCGTCCCTTCTAGGGTGAGCAAAGTTACAACCAAAATGTCACTGAATACAAATGCTTATGAGCTTTTTACTTCAACTTTGAATGTCAGGGCATATTGTAGAATCCACAACAAATTTGCGTTGTTTCCTTTCTTGCTACTCTTCTCGATACCACTCCGTCCAATGTTGCTTACCAACTTAAACCCAAAATAAGTGAATGGAAAGTGGATGGCGAGGTATCTCGAGATGATTTTTCCCTCACTTCGAATGTATGGAGAATCCAGGTGCTACAAATCGCTGTAGAAATCAATTGCAATAAAGAGCGCATTGGGCGGCTGCTCATTGGCAAGGTTCGTGATTTGTGGATTCATCGATGATCCCACATTTCCTGATGTGTTGCTTGTAGGGTGATCGCCGAATAACAGAGATTGGAAAGCGTGTCAATGATCATATGCACAGTTTGTACGCACGACAGTTATTCGTGCGCATCATTGTCAAACACAATGGGAAAGTTGTTAAATTTTTGGATTGATGAGTATCTATGTATATAAGTTGATGCACAAACTTTTATGGGACAGCAATGTCCTTTGCTGCACGTTTTACCCATTTACCCCATACGTTGGTCTTACTTCTAGCTATCCAATTTTTGCCCTTTCGAGTTGCTTTGCGAAAGTTCCAGGAATGATAAATGCGAGCAACTTGCTACTGTAACTTGGAAAAGCAAGTTGCTACAGTAATTGCAAAATAATTTGAGTTTCTCTTTTTTTTTTACTCGTGGAAATCCTGTACAAAGCGCTTGATGTGGTGTCCATAATGGGTGGGGTCAGTCTACATCTTCACCTGCGGAAGCTATACCGCTAGAAGATTACGACACAGCACCTACAGTAGAGGCATCCATGGATTTCTAATGTGATCTTATTTGCTTTTTTGTTGTTTTGAACGAATTGTTTTTGTTTTTCTCATCAATAAAAGTTGTTCTTTGGGTAAAGTGTTCACTGCGCAATCACTGGGATCAGTTTTTGGGGCAAAGGGGAATTCGTACAAAAATTTTGGGTCAAAGCGGAATTCGTTTTCGAAAACCCCTTTTGACTTTTGACAAGCTCGTGCCGGGCCCTGGGTGGGCCTTAGTTAACCTATGGCGCCACAGATCAGTATCAGTCAACTACGATCGTTCTATAGACATGCGCGCTTTCAACAAAATAATTTCGCTATTTCTAAAAAGTCGGTCAAATGGATGAAACTGTAGCTAGTCAACTGGCACCTACTTGGTTCGAGACCAGCCAGCGGCAACATTTTTGTTACGTGAAGCGGCCATGTTTGATATCGGCCATCAAAGGGAAATCCGTAATAACCGCGTCAAGGGGTTTCGCACGAAGAGATAAAACAAAAGCAACAAAATTACAATAATTCACCATGAAATCTTAACAAAAAATGCGATTTCTAGACTATATAGAGAGAATATAATCTCATTAGAGGTAATTTTTCAGTAACTGAAGTATTTTGCGCAAGAAAGAATAGATAAAAAATTATTTTCTGCCCTTATGGATGTGGTCGAGTGCTCAACGAATTCGCTTCAATGCAGCCCAGTGGCGGTCCCAGGATTTCGGACCGGTGGGGGGGGGGAGGCGACAAAATTTTTTTTCAAATGAAGGTGCGTGGTGTCTGCCACGCACTCCGAAAAATTTTTTGGGATGCTTCTCAAAATTTTTGCGGCTCCCCAATCCTTAAAATCTGGAAAAGGGGGCGTAGGTCAGCCACGCCCCCAAAAAAAGTTTTTCATGAGGCTAATTTGAATTTTTAAAAAACTTGACAAATTATTTTAATTATTTACAAATATAAACAAATCGTTTGCACATTTTTATAACCCATATAGGTAAGTTTCAAAAATTTCGCGATCCCCCCCCCCCCGCCCCCCCCCCTCGATCCGCCATTGGTGCAGCTCTCTCCCCGAGAGTATGTAGTATCCCGCACAATCGTCCGTAGTATGACATCACCTTGCGTCCCCTCTAATTACGGGGTTTTCCTCTAACTTCCGCATTTATACACTATCTACGGCAGTTTAACTTACGACCCATCCTTATCTTACGGTAGCGCGGCAAAGTCGCCGGGCAGTTAACCAACTTAACACTTCAAGTGGGCTTTTTAGGGGGAGAGGGGACAGCCAACATGAACGATAGGCTGTGCCAGCCACATGCGTTGCATAGATCGAATCTTTCGCAATTCTACATATACGATATGACATATTGAATATTTGAAAAAATGGAGGGAGCTTAATAGACCTTATTTCTTGCAGTTCCTCCCCTTGTCCAAACCAACGAAAAGCTTATATCTTCAGAAAGTACAAGTTTGTGTACAACTTGCTGACAACCGCAGTATACGGTATGATTTACAGCTGTCGTTTCTAAGGCATAGGAAGGTGAGCGGCCGTAATCTTATATATAAAGCTGAATGTCTGTTTGTATGTCTGTCTGTATGTCTGTATGTCTGTATGTCTGTACGTATGTTCCGAATAGAAAATTCCATTTCTGAACCGATCGGGACCAAACTTGGCACACATACACTACGGGCCCCGGCGGGTGTCATAGGCTACTTTTCGTCATCGATCGATGTCGATTTTATCGATTTTTTGCAAAATTTGCAAAATTCGATAACGAAAAGTGGACTGTGACACCCGCCGGGGCCCGAAGGATATGTGTGCCAAGTTTGGTCCGGATCGGTTAAGAAATGGAATTTTCTATTCGGAACATACGGCGGAGCCGGGTAAGCCAGCTAGTTTGAACTGAAGAGTGTGAGATTAGGATTTCAGGGCAGTTCACCTGGTCTGACGGGGGTTTATTACGGACCAGTATGTGAAACACTGTTATCAATACAGGAGGAACGAACATTTTACGCTTCGCTTTAACGGCTTCTTTGGGTTGCTGGGAAATTTTTGATAATTTTCGAAGGCAACAGAAATGCATTGGGTCTTGTTTGTGCAATTATTCTCTATCACAAACAGGGTCAAGCGTGTTGATGCAATCCAGGACCCTCATTTACGACCCCCCCCCCCCTTGAAGGTACCCATCCGTACGATCCCCCACCCCCCCTTCCCCTTTCCAACCACCCTCCTCCATTTATCCCCCTTACCTCCCCTACCCACATTCCTCGCGGTAACCTGCATAAACGAATGTCAATCTCAAGAAGCACCTGCGTGAGAACTTCAGTGGGACTTTGGAAGCAGAATTTCTAGGCCAATGGGTGCGTGTGTGCTACAGATGCGTCCAGCATCTGTAGCACACATACACACCTTCAATAATGTTTGAGAATCTGCAAGTTTTTTTTTGAATTTTCAGGCATATTTCAGACCAGCAAATGCGATTGCCGTAGGCGACACAAATTTTTGCACGGAGAAAAAGATGACATTCTTGAACTACAAAGGATGTTTTTGACTAAGAAGCTTACTTCCTACCTCTTCCACAGTTTTTCCCGCGAAAAAAACCGTTTGAGCGCCGTCCAGAACGACGTCAAAAACGTGCATGAGCACGATAGTTTGAAAATTCGTAACTAAGGCCAGGAAAAGATTGAGAGGCTGCAAGGCACAGGTTCTGTAGTATAGTGCCCAGACTATCCATAAAAAAAGTTTCAACTTTTGAGGATCAGTAAGCTCGAAAAAGTTTAGATGCGACTCTCGCAAATTTAGATGCGATCCTAAAAAGCAAAAACTGGGATTTTTGAGCTTAAAATTTTGTAACTTACCAGAGAAGTTATAAAACAGCCTGCAATTTTTATGAGGGAAAGTAGGAGGATGGCGTCATATTACAGCAGAATTGCAGCCAACAAGCTTCAATAGCTCCGAAGAAATTTAGATGCGACCCAGATACGACCCCCCTTTCCTGATTTTCTGCTACCATACATAAAATTATAAGAAAATCCACAGTTGGCAAAATAACACCAAATTTTGCATTGGTGTAGCAGAGCATCTCCAAAGTGCAGATAAATCATATGGGCCCGTGAAAAACACTACAAAAAGATTTAGAAATTTATGATGGTCACAGCTGGTAAAGATACTCGCTTTTGTCGAGTGTGTGAGATTTCAGGAGGGCTTCAGAAGCAAGATTTCCAGGGCAATCGGTACATTTAGCATTTTTATCAAGTCTACACCCTACAAAAGTGTTTTGAGCTCTTGTAAATGTTTTTTTTGAATTTCTACAGATTTTTTATCTTTTTTATTCTGATTTTAACTTTCTTATAGATTTATTGTAAAGAACATAACTAATTATCTGCTTTTTGACTCCCTTTTAAGCTTAGGGTATTTTAGCCTAACTGCCTTCTCTTACGACCCCCCCCCCCCACCTTAGGTACCCTCTTTACGACCCGCCATTGCGACAGTCGCATCACAAGCTTGACCCTGATCACAAAGCCAAAGAATGCATGTTGAGAAAATTGAAGGAATTTACGAGTTGACACCTTTCGGTATGATTTCAAATTTTACTCTTCCAAAAGATACCGCTTACAGAATCTAGCGGTTTTTATATACCTCATATATAAAGCTGCTCTCTATAATAAAGCGCAAGAGATGACTCATGCTGTAACATTACCCCCCCCCCCCCTCGCAGGCGAGCTGCGGACGTAAACAAGTCCGTCGTTATGTGCCGGTGCAGATGCACCGAGTTGTGGCTCATAAGGTATAGGCCGTCCGCGCAGGGCGCGGAGAGTGCGCAAGGTGCGTAATGCGCGTCACTCCTCTTTACTCGTGCACTCTCGCAGCGTTTTCTCTGCGCTTCTTCCAGTTCGTGAACTGCCTCGATGTACGCAACAGCGTCGCTCTCCGCGCGCAGCGCGGACAGCCTATAGCGGTGCCTGTTAGATAATGTTGATCAAAAATAATCAGCAAAGTGCACTTGCTAGAAAAGGTAAATGCTGTGAACAGAGAGGTTATTTGATCCTGTTTTCGTTATGCATTAAATAACGCTATAGCGAGGAGCAGCCCGGATAGCTCTTGCTAGCATGGTTTTGGGCTTTGGAGAACATCAGTTCAAATATAAAAACATATTATATAAGGTACAAGTCAGGTAAGTCAGTAGTCAGTATAAGTCATAGTTAACTGAAGGAAAGCAAGATGGAGGTCCCCCAATCCAGTGCTAGAAGTATGAATAATATTGGAAGGTTTGAATGCGACATAACTGAGATGTTACGGAAGCACAGAGGAAGTTACGAGAGGGGAGAAGGAGGGGGGGGGAAGTGGCGGAAAAGCTTGGTTGGAGATTTGCACTTAACTCTAGCAAAGGCAAAGATATGCGTATGTTTCCAAACATAGCAGAAAGAGGTTTGTGGTCCTGCAGGAGAAGCTCGATAGTGGGTTTTGGGATATAGTTGCAAGGCAGACGAAAACTAACAAAATATAGCGTAAACATTTTGATATCGCTAAATTTAGGGACATTTAGACAATTAAACATTTTTAGTAAAAGGAATAAGTGTCAGATTTTTCCCTTAGAAGCTCAGAGGTGCCAAAGACGTTTCTGCACGGCTTTTCGATTTTTCGAGGGGGCATAAGCAAGAAGAAGAATAGCGGAGAATCGGATTGGAAAGTGGAGATCATTCTCGCTGGATATGCATGTTTTTGACAAAAATAAATTTGAAATTCTCAAGGTATGACTACAACTTTGGCACAATTTTGAAGAAAAAAGAAACTAGTAAAATGTGGATGTAAAGGACTTTTTTAAAAAGAAAACAAAAGACACTTAAGCTAATAAGCTTTCTAGCAAGGGGGGAGTGCGAGGAGGGGCTGCAGCGCAGTCTGACAGAAGGACTTTCCATTCTTTCCAAGAAAGAATCCAGATGACCTTTCAAAAACTGGCATACTATTATTCCATACCAATTGCACTATCTCAGCAGAATTGGCTATTTGAACCCAGCAAGATAATGATTTTCCTTGCAAGTAGTTGTAAATCTTCGATATGAAAAGCTTTGAGGAGCTAAGAAAAGCTCTGCTGTATATTTCATTCACATCAACATGCAACCCTACAAAAATTTCACTTACTTCCCATACTATTAGCCAAATGTTTTAAGACACCCAATTTTTGACTAACAATAAGAAGAGGCACTGTGCCAAACTTTTGCACACACCCACTTCACACACGGTCTTATATGTAAAGCTGAATGTCTGTTTGTCTGTATGTTTGTCTGTCTGTATGTCTTCTGTGTGTACGTATGTTCCAAATAGAAAATTCCATTTCTGAACCGATCCGGACCAAACTTTGCACACATACACTTCGGGGACGCGGGTGTCATAGGCTACTTTTCATCATCGATCGATATCGATTTTGTCGATTTTTATCGATTTTTTCGCAGAGCTCACCTACGGGGCTGGGAGTTGGCACAGTGGGGTAATCGAGCATGCTGATTACGAATACAATATTAGTTTCAAAATTATCCGTTACTTTTATCGATTTTATCGATTTTTGCAAAATTTGAGCTACGGGGCAGAGAGTTGGCACAGGAGGGTAACTGAGCATGCTTACGAAAATATTATTGATAGGCCGTGCGGAGCCGGATTTACCAGCTAGTTCATCATAAGACAGTCGGTGAATAATCAGAATCTTTACATACCTGAACTGCCAAAACTCGGGCGACAAGCAGCTGAGTCGAACGTGCTCTTTAGAGTAGACGTTACCTCGAAAATTACCCATCCATACATCAAAGCCTTGATCAGCAAAGAAGAAGCCTTAGAAAGGATGTTGCGAAATGTACTTTGATAGGCTCTATCACCCAAATCAATTTACCAGCAGACTGATGAGGAAAATTCAGCACCCAGTGTGCGCTTGAGCAAAGCAAACCATGTTGGAGAAAAATCACTGGTCGTCTCCCTTCTAAGCACCCTGTACCTGGAAATGGTTGACATTGCTTATCTTTCAAGCTTATACCGCAGTAATTTTGATATCTGAAAAAATTGTATTGATCTTAAGCTAAAATATCAGAATGATGATACCTTCAAACTACGTACTTCTCCCATAAGGTATCCGATGCATAGTCACTATGTAGCCATCAGCAGTAACAGCTTTGTGCACTTCTACTGGATATCCCCAATATCGGATTATTTCTGGCTAAAATTCGAAACATGAGAGTCAATTCATAAAAAATCGTCCCATTGAATTATTTTTTTGTGGTGTACACTATCCAAATTCGACTCGACGGATGAGTGCGAATTAGTGATTATTTACAGAAGCGAACAACAAAACTGGACAAATTACTACACAAAGAGGATAGAAGCCATATTGTCAAGTTGAGCGTAAAGGGCAATTGTACAACTTCATTTAGGTCGATAGCAGCAAATTTTATAAACGATTAGAAATTTGTATTCTAAATAGATCTTTATGAATGCACAGCAAGTTTGTGATGCTAAATTTCTTCATTGACCTATCGAAGCGATCAAATGGAAAAAAATGAAATTGATTTCAAGGAAACATTCTACAACAGAATTGGGTTTTTGAAGACTTACGTATGTGTACTAGAGCACGATAACACATATGAAATAGCAGTCTAACCTTTTATAGAATTCATCAACAACATAAAAAGTTACAATAGCTAGTAAAACACTAGGTTGGTACAAAATTTCTGTCGCCATTTTAAAAATTCATAACTTCTGATTTTCACAATCAATTCCTGCTTTCGCTTTTTTGGAAAGAGTAAACCATGTTCTTTGCAAAAGTATTTTAGCTGCTTCGTAGTGAGCATAAATTGCAATTTCCCATAAAAGCAAGCAGATTTTAGAAAATAAGAAATCACGATTTTTTGAAATTTTTTGGTGCGACAGAACATTCATGCCAACCTAATAAAACGGTTATTTTGAATGTCTGCGGTAGAATTTACTCAACATCCAATTTCGCCTGCAAGGGACTTGGCAAAATTCCATACTTCTTAACTAATGACAGTGCTTCTGCACCTAACAATGTTTGTGTAAGAACTAAAAGCTCAAAAAAGGAGCCGTCAACAAAATTGTGGTAGCGATTTTCGGCTTATTACTAGGTACTGGTTATCGTAACCTAGGGATGAGTTAGAATTTCAGAATTTAACGCACAATAGTAAAGGCAGAAGGAGATTTATCTCAGAAACTGCTAGTAGAAATTTGAGCACATCATATCGACTATCATAAATACACTCACCACTGTCATCATTTCTTCCGGATGGGTTGTCATTGCCTCTGAAAAAAAGTTGAATGAAATTCTTGTTTGTTTTGGGGTAAGTTAGTTTCAAGTGCAATCATGGATCAGCTCACAACCCCAAACGCGGTTAGTATCAACTTCACGGAACGCTTACCCATGCGTGGATTAACCCATATTTGGCGATGATCTCCGATCATCAATGCGATTACGAACAAGAACTACCATATAACCACTTAATTTTTAGAAACTCTAAAGTATTCTGTATTGATGATTTTGCGGACGCCCTGTTCATTTGTCAGATCAGATTTGAGTTATTAAGTCAAAATGATTTATGTTCTTTTCGCTTTTATATTGTTGTCACTCTTGATAATTGTTTGTTTTGGTGTTGGCTATCCAGATTTTGCGGGCACATCAAACCGGGCCATTTTCACAATAGTGCGATTTTTGATCAGCTATTGACCTTGAATTCGAACGCGAAAACAAAATGAGAAAATATAAAATGGACAGATTACAGTATATTGTGAAAACCCAGTGTGATTCGAACTTAAACCTAATAAAATTATTTTCAAACTTTGGATCCATCTTATAAAACCCTGATCAAGATGATTAGTTTTTCTAGAATGAAATACTCTTTTTTCGTTTTACTTCCAGATCAGCGGAAAATATAACACATTTTAACTCATATATTTTATAAATAGGCAAAGAGTAGAATATAAGAAACGGATAACTTCCTGACAAATATCGTCAACCATAGGCGTCTCAAAAATTTTGGATAAAATGCTTGACTATTTTTTCCGAGTTAACCTCACAAAATAAAGTGAGCAAAAAGTAACGTTTGGTGGACTACTTACAACTTTGGGAATCTGCTTCAGAAGGCATAAGGCTAATGACGACTATACGCTAGAGCCAATATTTCAAAAAAATTTTACAGTTTTTTCTTTAACAATTTTTTAGAGCGCAAAAACGCGGAAATGCTCAGATACCATTGTACGGGTTATAACTCAAAATGATGGAATTGTTTGAAATTGTTTGAAAAATTCTCGGTTTCGTTTGTCCAGTATTTCTCAAATAAGTGCATCAAAAGTCGTTGCGACATATTGTACCGAAAGTTATTGAAAAATCAGCGTAGCACAAACAAACAGCAGCATGGCAACTTTTGGTCTACAATGTCTGAATTGACATTTTTCGAACAAATTGATTCAAAAAATATCAAAAAATAAACAATTGTTTTTCTGAGTACAGTCAAGTACAATAGAGCAAAAACATTAATGAAATGCCTTTTTTGTACACAAAAGGTTGCGTTTTATGATTTTTTAAAATTCTTTTTTATTGAGATGATACCACAGGTAGGGTTTAGAAAAATTTTAGCACTAAGTTTACTACAACAACGAAAATGTCCCAATCTTCACTGAATGAGAAAAACCACTTAATTCATGGAATCTTTGGCATACGATTTCTTGTAGTCCATTTGTCAATATGAGTCTCCACCGCAGAATCTGATTAGCAAACACAGTACTTACTGACACATCCTATTATGCCCAGATTCAAAGATAAAAGAGCATTCAACTTAATACGAGTGAGTCTATTTCCGGGATAACATGTAGGCTTCGATTAGCGATATCAATGGGATGTATGGTGTTCCGCTGATTCTCACATGATCATTGGAACGGATAGTTAACGAGATTGTCAATAAAACAGTGTTAGCGTGATGTCGAATAATGTTCAAGCGAATACTCAAGCAATGTCTTTTTCAGGGGCCACATTGACTTTGTGGGCCGTTCTGTGATGGGGTACTCATAAGATTTCATTTCCGGTTACGCTAAAGGGAGCTATTTATCACTGTAGGCGGGTGCCAAGTGCTTTTAGGCTTGAACAATGGCCATTCGCGCTGAAAGGACAAGCTCATCTCATTGGTTGTAAGAGTGCCTACTGTACCAAACAATTTAAAATTGGCAATTTTGGGTCAATATGATCAGGGATCGGCACTGGTGGCTTATAAGCAAAATGGATATCGTTTTTGGGACAAAAAGCAAAGGGGACATCGTTTTTGTGGCCAAAAAAACACAACTTAGGTTACGTTTTCGTTCTTTAGTCGGCGTTTCGTTGAGGGTTTTTACGTTTATGGTTCATGGTCAAAGGGGGACTTCGTAAGATTTAGGGAAAGTTAAGTCCGTTTTTTGTATTTTCGGAAAGCCACCTCGTGCGGAGCCCTGAATATGATGCCTCGCACTAAACGTCCTGAGTAATAAGTAATAATCAGTAGCTTTTATTTAGAATTATTTGCGAATTTCGTTGACGACAACATCTATGTTACATTCTTATGACATCTCTACACTTTAAATGGAAATGCTGGTTGGTTATGATGCGAATTGGTTGAATGATTTATTTATGATAAGGGGACAACAAAGACCGAAGTAGATAAAAACAAATTCATGCCAGCAATAAAAATTGAACCCAACATTTTTGTAAAGTAAAGACGAGAAAGACTTTTTGTCTCATTTTTCAGTATTACATGCACGATTCGTTTTCCTTTCAAGATCAGGCTCAAAAAATTTTCTTCTAGTAATCAGAGCTCACAGTAATCTGAAAGGCATTGCTTACCTAAGAACCCAACAAAACCTTAGAAGTCATTTTTTGAATTTTTTTCTGATTTCGATATAGAACATAGTCGGATATAATATAATAGTAACTCGTTGCTTAAGTTTTTATTCCAAAATTTTCCATTATTTGGCCAGATCCAAACTTTCGACTTACCTGTGTATATGAGCAAAAATAGAAATAATAGAATATGTTGCAGAGGTGCTGATGAGATCATTTGAATGGATGAAAAATCCAAGGCGGCTCAAGGTGGTCGGAATTCTTCCTTCTTCTGTTTAGCTCTCGTTTCTCTGAAAATCACATATTAGGCTTCTAGGTGCATTCATTTTGGAGACAAATTTGAAGCGATTTAATTGGACACATTTTTGAACGACGAGATTAAGAAAAAAAGAGAGGCAGCTAGCTTTGTGTGGTAGTGGAACGATCAGAAAAGCCAGGAAAAAAATGGAGGGATCAAAGCCGCAGAAGAAACTTCCAGTTTTCTTGTTGTTTCGGAAAAGACACTGACCGTCTGAAAAAGCCCAAACGGCTAGCTATGTAAATGTGGAAATAATGGATCGGGATAACTTCGTAGATATGAATGCGAGCCCGCTGGCGATGTTCTCGCAACATATAAACAAGAATACGGCAACCCGATTCGGCGGAACCAGTGGTGCATAGCGCACTCGCTTTCCGTCAAGTTAAGCACTAAATTGGTGAAGCGGGATGAGGGGGGGGATTGGAAGCATATGGTCACTTCAAGAAAACTTGTAGGTTTTGAAACTGGCAGAAATTGTGGAAAAATTTTTAGTTTTGAAAGATTTTGGTTTGATTGCTGAATCTGGAAGGAAAAAGTGTAAAAAAAATTCAGAAACTTTTGGGCGGGGTTCTCGAGTTTTCGAGATTTTCACAGCGAATAAGTTTTGACGCCAGAATAATGAAAAGGTTGAGTTTTGATAGCGCAAATATGCTAACTTTTAACAATCCCTAGCCATTATCTTTTCCTTCACCCCTTCCCTATAATTCGCACACCTTTATAGTAAGAAGCATTCAGGCATTGACCATAATAGGTGAATTTATACAGTAAAACCAAAAGATTTTTTTTCTCATGAAATGGACACCTCCCCCTCCTCAGACCCCATGCATATTGATATGCATATTTTAGCATGAAGTATTCAAAGTGTTAGCTTGATACATAAGTCCTGCATCAAAAGATGCAGAAAAATCGTTTTGCGAATAGACAAATAATTTTGAAACAAATGAATTACTTTTGGTCCTTAATCAAACGCCGTATCTTATCATAAATAATAAGTGGTTTTGGACTTGAAATCAGAAAACTGAGCAAAACAATTAAAAGAATATGTCAAAAAATCCAGAAAATTTAGAATGAAAATTTAGTAGACGTCGTAATAATCTTAGCAAACAAAATTCAAAGAAAACCACTTTGTAAGTGCTTATCTTTATCACATTGTATCATTGCGATATGGAAAGGCAAAATGTTGTCTTCCTACGCACGGCTTTTTTGCGCAAAAACAAATTTTGGCGCCAGTAAAAAACTGCTTGCACATGTCATGTTACGCATGTCACTGTGCCTTGGATATTATATTTTGACATAGATTTGGGGAAGCCGGTTATTCCCAAAAGAACAGTAAACATATCCCAAATATCTGTGGTACTGCTAGAGCTGGCTGTCAATTTTGAGAAAATTTGTCTTGCCAAAACATAAATGCATCACGGGAAATCGTGATGCTTTTTGATGAGAAGATTCTTCTAGTTTCGCTGAGATGAACGTTTCTCCAACCAATAGATTTTGAATTAGTTGCGCTATGAATTCAAGAAGTGGGTGAAATATGAAATACTGATGGAAATGGATAAATTGTAATCCCGATATAACTGATTGTTTATTGCTTGATTGTCCGGATTTTACATAATATGAAGAAAAACATAAGAAATAAAAAAGAAAGTTGACCGTATAGTTTTTACACTGCAACAATATCCTAAGGCTATAAAAATTTTTAGAACTTGCATTTACAGTTGATCACAATTTCGGAAAATCCATATAAATTTATAGAAATATAACGAAATTTTGAACTTTGCCGTAATGCAAAAGTTGCAACAATTCGTCAAGACCGATTACCCATGTTTGCTGGAATTTTGCAATGGAAAGGACCAAGAGGACCAAGATAAGGTGACGAAGAGAAGTATGAATATCCAAATCTTAGCCGCAAGCGTCGCCGGCTATAAAAGCCACAATAGATGCATGAAGCGAGCGTAAACTCGTTTTTGCAAATTTTAGAGAGGACATAAGCGCATTTCTAAGTCTTCCGAACAAGAAACAATTGAAGAGCGCAATGTTTGCATGAAACCAGCAGATTTAGGCTGTCTTTGAGCAATGAACTTGTCGTTTCATTAAATGTCTTTGTTTGATATTTTTTAACATATGTCGCAAAACAAGA